CGAAATCAATAGGAGATTCACGAAAATTGTTTAAAAAAAGCATTTTAGTTCCGAGGAACCGATCTTCTACATCTGTTGAAACGAAAGCGAATGATTGAACGTCGTTTGGCTATGGGACAAGGCGAAGAGATTCTGCAAATGTATATCCAGCAGATGCAAAATCAATTGTGGGTTTTAATACATCGCCTTTTGTTAATTATGCATCCTGATCATTACCACTTTACCGCAAATGCGAGAAATGGTGTCTGTCTTTCGCTTTCTTATTTTGAAGCTAAACAAGGCTTATTCAGTGAGAAGTCTCGTATTACTCATTTTTAAGAAATGGAAAAAAATGTTGAAGAATTGGTTTTAGAATCAGAGTTGGGAAATACTTTAATATCCATATTTTCCACTAAAAATTCAAAACGCTTAATGTGCTGACGAGGACTCTATGTCGCTTTTCTTCATTCGTACTACATTCGTTCGCATCCTTATGATTTTTAGTATGAACGATATCTATATGTAGATTTGTGAGAAAAATCTTCTTGCTCTTGAAGTGATACATATCCTAGCGCTTGATCAGGATATCCTCCATGGATCATACCAGAAATCAAGTCCTACCAATTGTACTTTTCAGTAGTTTCGCCTGCGTGCAGTTTGTACAGTACCGTCGGTGCTGCTATGAAATTTTTTAGAAAGAAGTATCGTCTTGACATCGCACTGCTAGCTCGTTTCTAACCCATCTGTACAAAAATGGGATCTTGAAATTGAGCGCCTTCGCTTTAACGATCAATACATCAACGGTTAAAATTTGAATTTTTGGCCGCTTGCTGACGTCCCTGCTAGTGGATGTCATTGACAGCTCAAGATCGACTTCGAGTCGTTCTTAATTATATCCTTAGGTTCGGTTGCCCAAAGATACGAAATGTTAAACTGGAAAAATAACCTGACGGCATATTTGTGTTGAACGATTATATTAATGTCAAACAACAGCTCTTCAGAATTTGCTTAAAATCGTGCATAGCACAATCTGATTCATTCATAAAATTTATCCTGGATATAACAGAATTTTTTTATGTTGCGCAAACTACCTAATTCTCTCCTATTTTCTAAAAGAACCCAAGTACAATATCTCCCCATTTACTCATTTTTGATATTCATAACATTCGTACAAGCTTTTCTTTTATGATTACTCAATCTAGATGCACTACTTATGCCTCGCTTCTTAACGAAATCTAAAGAAGTCTTTAATTTATTGCAACTTACAAGCACTTTCTTTTTCCGAAATTTCTTACTGTCGAGTTTAAAAGACCATAACTTACAAAACTCAATCATCGAGAAATTCTGAAAAAAATTGCTTGTAAGTTTAGCA